ACGATCGTTCTTACATACGCGTATATATATATATATTTTTTTTTCATTATTTTTCTTTTTTTTTTTTTTTAATATATAAAAATGAATTTCGAGCCGTTAAATATATAGAATCGGCCGCAACGACGTGTGTCCCGTTACGTCTCGTCGCGAGACGCGCGTCGAAAGTTCAGAGATTAGAATTGAAACTCGATGTCCCCTTTCAACCCTCAACGATGTTTATCCTAAAGTATTATAAAGTACAAATTACGAGCGTGATAATACCACGAGCTTCGAGCATTTCTCTCGACCTTCGCCTTATCACGCGATTTCCCGTTCATCCGTTTTCGTTTCAACGAGAATAACCTTAACGAACTCTCCCTCGTTTATCGTTTACCCTTCTTTTCTCGTAACAATACTCGTCTTCAACTATATCTCTACCACGATTGCGATACACGATACACGATTTCAAAACGAAAAATTTCTTCGAAAATACTTTTTTTTTTCTTCTTTTTCTGTTATCCGACGATTCGCGATTAAATCTCTTACCTCTTGAACTCAGGAACTTTCGTTTCGTCTCGACGACGAACAATTTTCTCGTCAAATACTTCTTTCTTCGTATAGATGATCGAGTGCAAGAGGAATTGGTTCGAGAGGAAGATCGAAAGCTCGAGGAATTGCCTTATTTTGTTCGCGGCCTCGGCCACACCCGTACTGAACGCAGGTCAATTCGCTTCTGTGATGACCAAACGTCGTCTCTTGGCGTTGAACCTGTTGGTAGCGCGCGATTTTTTTCTATGTTTCGACGTATGAATTAATAATCGATCGTTACGATATCAGTATACTCTACGATAACAAATGTTTGATTGAAAACGTTTATAATAATTGAAGCTACACGGAATTTCTTTCTCTCTCTTTCTCTCTTTCTTTCTCTCATTCTCTCTCGCGCAAGCACACTTTCTCTCTCTCTCTCTCTCTCTCTCTCTCGCTCTTTTCTTCGGCGTGGTACTAAAAATGCTAAATTGCAAAAAAGAGGCGCCGCCGTTTTTTTGTTTCTTTTTTTACTTCCGTCACTTGTCTCCACCTGTGTATCTCTTGTTCTCCTCTTTCTTTTTTATCATTTTTTTTTTAATCTTTTTGTTTCTTTTAATCGTTTTGTTAATCAGTGATCGTACTTCGGGAAGATCGTATTGTGCATCTTTCGCTACTTGCTTCTCATAATCGTTTACGAAACTATTAAGAAACGCTACATTCTATCGGCTACTTCGCGCTAAAGGTTTCCTCTCCTGCTTTCGTTCGTTTATAATAATCTACGCGCTTTAACGTTGCTCGCTCCTTCGTGTCAAATCGTCTCGTGAGAAGCCGCTGCATTCACTCTTCCATTCTTCTTTCCGTCTCTCTCTCTCTCTCTCTCTCTCTCTCGTTTATACACGCTTTTCTTCCCTCTCGCGAATCTCGATTTTACTTTCACGAATCAATCCGAAACCACGTCTGTTTCTTTCCTCGTCGAAGTATCGGTAGTATCGGTAGACGATAAGGCGAACAGGTGACAATTAGACGCGACGCAACGCGCAACGATCGGCGATGATCTTCGCTGTTCTTCCTCTTCTTCCTCTTCTTGCGCGACAAATCCTCGAGAGCCTCGATTACCACGACCGATCGCCACGAATCAACGTGGAATTACCATAATAATATTAGAAGCGTAAGGTTAATTCGATGCTAGAGATGTGAAACGCGAGGGTCAAACAGCACTCGGCCACACGGCGTTTTCTTCGCGAGTGTCCTGTGCAGCAAGAAGAGCGAGAACGATAGGTAAGACGCGTGTTAGCAGCGGCTAAAGAGTTTAAGAACAAGAACGACTCGTAGAGAGAACGGGGCGCAAACACACGATGTTTCGTTTTTCTTGGAACGCGAAGCTGCTCGAGAACCGTTCCACCAGATTCCTCTTTTCCTTCCTTTTTTTTAGTTTCGAGTCGAGAGTATACAAAAGTGTGACAACGTTTGAAGTATGCGCGAAGAGTGAAATTTCTCGTTTAATTTCGTTACCGAATCGGTTGAGTCCCCCCCTGTATCTTGTTTTCCACTATTCTTTCTTTCTTTTTTCTTTGTTCCTCTTCTTCTTTTCTTCTCCGTTTCATCCCAAGTGAATTTCTGGTCTCTCCTCGTTACGATTTGATTCTTTGCGTCAGCTTTTTTGCGAGTATTTCTTTTTTTTTTTTTTATGTTTTCCTGTTTTTTCTTCTTTAGTAAAAAGCTAGGCCGCTGTTAGGCGTTCAGGCGGTTCCGGATACATACGTCGCTCTTTCTAATCGTCTCGTCGCGCAGCAATCACGCTGCGATTATTATTCCCATTTCTTCTCCGCTTTTTTTCTTTTTATTTTTTTATTTTTTATTATTTTTTTTTTTCGATATTCCTAACTTAATCGGTATCACGTTATAACTATTTGTTACAATCTACGCGGTCAAAACGGTACTTTGAAACATTTTTATATAATACAGAATCTGTTAACACGAATTAAAAAGTTTTCCTCTTCTTCTTCGCTTCTATCTCTCTGCCACATTCACCCTCCCTCCCTCCCCCCTTTCACTCTTTCATATCCCATTCGCACACTTATTATTCGCGCTTATTATCCTCTGTACACGTCTCTCTCTTTCTCGCTCCATCTCTCGCTCGCTCTCTCGTACTCCTCTGTTTCTCCGCTCGCGTGTACATGTAACAACGATATATAATAATATAATTATTTAACATCGTCTAACGATATCACCATAGCGTGGCATAGCGTGGCGTCGAAAACTCGAAAGAATTGTTTGTTTAGTGAAAAATAGCTTAGTGAGAATCGCTCTCGAGATCACGAAACTTCCTTCTCTCACGTATACATATATATATATATATATCTATATTGTATATGTAATCAAAAAGTCTCTTCGTCCTCTTCGGCTTCTCGTATTCCTCGCTCGAATCTCTCCATTCTCTCGTTCCTCGCGTGATCGTTGCCAGCGTTACTCTTTTACGCTAGAAAGAACGGTGTGCAGTTACTCTCGTCGATCGTTTTGGTGAATACCATCAAATAGAAGGTGCAGAGGCAAGCGTCGCGGGTGTTCGATTCGAGGAACGAAGCCGAGCCGGCTGCACCGCGTTCCCTCCAACAATTTTCCTTTTTTTAATTTCGCTACGCGATTTTAGGAAGGTTCGATCTCTCCTCGTGCCTCTTACGTAGATTATATTTGCTCGATAGTTTTAGTTAGTAATCGAAGTTTAAAAACGGGCACGCCCGGAACCGGAGCCGCGTATCCTCGGCAAAAAACGAACGCTCGTTCGTCGAAACGAGGGCGGTTCTTCTCGACTGTTCTCTTGCTTATTTCGAAATTACCACAGCTCGCTCGGGAAGCTCTTAAAGGCGTTCTTCTATTTTTTATACAATCAGAAGGGAGACAAGAAATTTCGTATCCGCGTTGAAAGGATCGATTCGACCGCCATCGTTTCCGTATCGATTCGCGATCCGAATCGGCGCCGCTTCCGTTCTCGGCGTGCAGGAATGGAGCGCATCTTTGGCAATCGACGAATTCGTTTCCAATCGGTCAAAAAAAACCATGCCACGTTCGATCTGATCGATCGGTGGAGTCGCAGTTCGTTTATTTTCTTTTTTTTTTTTTTTTTCTTATTTCTTGGACAACGTCAATGTTTCGCGGATAAAAACGGCGTAACAACGGCGTATCGAGGTATCACGCGCGCTACCGATCAAAATCGAAACGTTCGTCGTTTCGTCCCTGAATTATCGATTAATTAATTTAATCTCACGACGTCGTTTCGATCCTTCTCCTTTTTTTTTTTTTTTTTGTTTATTCGAAAATTGGAAAAAGCGTCGAAGAAGGAGAATCTTGATTGGCCTCGCGCATTTTCCCGACTCGAAAACGAAGCGTCGACCGTCAGAAATCGCATCCGTGCAGATTTTGCGAACACGACACAGTAGATTGGCTATATTCTACGATTATAGGCGAAAAGAGAATGTTGCTTTTTTAGAGAGAGAAATCAGCGAGCGGTCAGCCCGTCCATTGCCCAACGAGGAATCGTCGATCGTTTACCTCGCCAGCAATGGAATCGTGCCAAACGATCGTAAATCGCGATCGAGAACTATATATATATATATATATATTATTTTACACGATAACAAATTCATTGTTTCCTTCGTGGAACGATTTGGCAGTTCGACTAACGCCACTTGGAAAGTCACGAATCGAAGCATATCTACGAAGAATATCCCTTCCTTCTTGATTAGATGGACGTAGGTGTAAATCTCGACGAGAAAACTCGCGTTGGAAACGAGGAGGAAAAGGAGATAGTGTTTCGAGATATCGGCGCGTCAAGCTTCGAGCGTACGCGGGAACCTAACGAGTGGCGTCGACGAGCGAATTGTCTGAATAGAGATTCTACATCTAGGATAAATGTCGTAAGAGAAACGAGGTGGTAGTTTTTCGTACGAGTAGAAATACAGGAAGAAGAATAAGAAAAAAGAGAAAGAGTAGTAATAGTAGTAATAGTAGTAGTAGTAGTAGTAGTAATAACAATAGTAATAGTAGTAGAAGAAGAAGAGGGAATAAGAAAAGATTAAAAGGAGGAATAAAG